GTTGGGGGTCTCCCTCTGTTGCCCAGGTTGGTCTCAAACTCCTGGGCTCAAGCAATGCCCCACCTTGGCCTCCCAATGTGCTGGGATTACAGGTGTGAGCCGCCATGCCTGGCTGGGCCCTGGGATTTTATGAATTTCCCCACAGTGAGAACTGAGAGCCTTTCAGAAGACTCAGTGGAGACCCAGCCTCCTTGGCAGAAAGGCATCTTGACTTTCTTCCACTGAACAAGGAACGTGGAGGGCCAGGAATCCCCACCCCAACTTGCCCTGCCCCCTCGCTGCTGGGGGTGCTGGGTGGCGCCAGCCTGCCCTCCTTCCCTGCCAGATGCCTCTCGGGACAAGTGGCCTCTCTGTGCAGCACCACCAGGTCATGTCCTGCTCCCCCTGCCGATGGCAGAAGACAGCAACCTTCTCCCTTCCCATAGGCACCTCCTCAACTCGGGGCTCCCCAAAAGTCCTCAGCCAGCTCCACGACAGCACAGTGTTTAAGGCCGTGGGCACCAGAGGCAGATAAGACATGAGTTCAGCTGGGCGTGGTGGCTCATGCCTGTAATCCCAGCACTTTGGGAGGCAGAGGCGAGAGGATTGCCTGAGCCCAGGGGTTCGAGACCACCCTGGGCAACTTGGTGAGTCCTCATCTCTACAATAAATAAAAAAGTTAGCCGGGCGTGGTGGTGTGTGCCTCTGCTTCCAGCTACTCGGGAGGCTGAGGCGGAAGGATCACCTGAACCCAGCAGGTCAAGGCTGCAGTGGCTATGAGCATGCCACTGCACTCTAGCCTGGACAACAGAGTGAAACTCCCACTGAAAAAAAAAAAACATGAGTTCGAATCCCAGCTCTGCCTCTCACTTGCTGGGTGACCTTGACTCGGACAGGACACCCGTGGGAGCCTCAGTTTTCCCACCGAGAACGTGAACATCACCATAAAACTTACCTCATGCAGCCAGGCACAGTGGCTCAGCCTGTAATCCCAGCACTTTGGGAGGCCGAAGCAAGAGGACTGCCTGAGCCTGGGGTTCGAGCCCAGCCTGGGCAACTTGGTGAGACCTCGTCTCTATAATAAATCACAAAAACTAGCTGGGTGTGGTGGCGCGCACCTGTAGTTCCGGCTACCTGGAAGCCTGAGGCAAAGGATCCCCGGAGCCCAGCAGGCCGAGGCTACAATGGCCGTGAGCACCAGCCTGGGTGATAAGAGTGAGACTCCAACTCAAAAACAAAAACAAACAAATGCATGGGACGATCACCAGCCAATGCACAGGCTGTAAGACTGTGGTAAACTGGAGCCAGTGCCATGACAATGGCTGGGCCAGGACGACTGTCCAGAGACCCCCCCAACGGCACGTGGGGTGACGGCTCAGACCCAACCAGCCCCTTCCCACAAAGCGGGAGGCGTCCTGGGAGACACAGCCTGGCCCCGCATGCCATTCCAGCCCCTCCCCCCCCTCCACACACATCCCCGCTGCCCCTCTCCTAACCTCTGTCCATGTCCACCAGCCCCATGGGGCTAGTTAAACTCAATTAACAGAAAACACTCAGCACCTCGGTTGCACTGGCTACATTTCAAGGGACTGCCACACGGGGCGGTGGCTCATGCAACGGGCCGCACCAGGCACAGCGTTTCCACCACGGTAGCAAGTTCTATTGGGTAGCACAGCTCTGTTTCCCGCTGCTACCCACCTCCTGGCACCAGCCTTGTCCAAGCCCCACTGGTCTGTGCCTGCTCCTCCCTGGCCTCCAACAGCTCTTCGACCAACCCCACCTGGCAGATAGTCATGAGCTACTGCCCTCTCCACAGCAGAGGTACCGTCAATGGTTCCCTATTGCCCTCTGTATAAAATCCAAACAGCTCCTGTGGCCCACATGACTTAAGTTCCTTTCATACCCACTTGCTCACTGCAGTCTAGCTGCGTGACTGCCCCACTGTTCCTCGGACCCACCATGTGCTGCGCCTCTAAGCCTTGTACTTCCCATTCCGTACGCCTGGAATGCTCTTCCCTCTTCCCCCCCCCCCCAATTTTCTTCCTGGCATTTTCTTTTTTTCTTTGAGACAAGGTCTCTCTGTCACCCCAGATGGAGTGCAGTGCTGCAATCAGAGCTCACTGCAGCCTTGACCTCCTGGGCTCAAGCGACCCTCCTGTCTTAGCCTTCTGAGAAGCTGGGACTACAGGCACACATCACCACACTGGTTTCATTTTCTGTAGAGATGGGGAGGGGGTTGCCCAGGCTGGTCTTGAACTCCTGGCCTCAAGCGATTCTCCTACCTTGGCCTCCCATACCACTGGGACTGCAGTTATGAGACACTGTGCCCTGTCCCCTAACATTTTTTCTTTTTTTCTTTTTTTTTTTTTTGAGTTGGAGTCTCACTCTGTCGCCCAGACTGGAGTGCAGTGGCCGCTCCCAGCCACTGCAGCCTCGACCTGCTGGGCTCCGGTGATCCTTCCGCCTCAGTCTTCCAAGTAGCTGGAACTACAGGCGCGCGCTGCCACACCCGGCTCATTTTTGTTTGTTTGTTTATTGTAGAAATGAGGTCTCACCACGTTGCCCAGGTGGGTCTCAAACCCGGCAATCCACTCACCTCAGCCTCCCAAAGGCACGGGATTATAGGCTGAGCCACCGAGCTCGGCTACATTTTTTCATATTATTTTTTGAGCTGTCGTTCAGACTAGAGTGCAGTGGCATGATCCTGGCCACTGCAGCCTTGACCTGCTGGGCTCAGGTGACCCTTCTGCCTCAGTCTTCCAAGTAGCTGGAACTGCAGGCACGCATCACCACGCCTGGCTAATTTTTTTAATTTGTTGTAGAGACGAGGTCTTGCCAAGTTGCCCAGGCAGGTCTTGAACCCCTGGCCTCAGGCAATCTTCTTGCCTCCGCCTCCCAAAGTGCTGGGATTTACAGGCGTGAGTCACTGCGCCCGGCTAGCATCTTTTTTATTTTTATTTTTTTGAGTTGGAGTCTCACTCTGTCGCCCCGACTGCAGTACAGTGGCCACGTCCGGCCACCACAGCCTCAACCTGCTGGGCTCCGGCGATCCTTCCTCCTCAGCCTTCCAAGTAGCCGGAATTACAGGCACGCACTACCACGCCCGGTTGATTTTTTGATTTTTATTGTAGAGATGAGGTCTCGCTGCCCAGGCGGGTCTCGAACCCGCGGGCTCAGGCAATCCACTCACCTCAGCCTCCCAAAGGCGCGGGATTACAGGCTGAGTCACCGAGCCCAGCAACATCTTATTTTTAAATATTCAGATGGTCCCTCTATATTTTCTCCCATTTTCGGATAACTGACTTCCCTCTGCCTCCATAATAATACACCCCATGCTTCTTAGAGTATTTTATTTTTTCTGAGTTGGAGTCTCACTCTGTCGCCCAGACTGGAGTGCAGTGGCCGCTCCCAGCCACCGCAGCCTCAACCTGCTGGGCTCTGGCAGTCCTTCTGCCTCAGCCTTCCAAGTAGCTGGAACCACAGGTGCACTCCACCACGCGGGGCTGATTTTTTGATTTATGGTAGAGACGAGGTCTTGCCAAATTGCCCAGGCTGGTCTCGAACCCCTGGGCTCAGACAATCCTCTAACCTCCACCTCTCAAAGTGCTGGGATTACAGACGTGAGCCACCACGCCTGGCTTTTATAGTTTTCAGAGTGCTTCCGTCTGCAAATGATTAAGAAATCCTTACACCACAACCTGATACGACAGGGACACTGTGAATACTCCCATGACATATAAAGAAACCGAGTTTCCTATTAGTGAAGCGACTTGCCCAAGGCCACTGAGTCACTGACTGAGCCAGGAGTCGTGGCCAGTCCTTCCGTCTAAGCGGAGTGTCCCTCCACCAGTCGACTCGTTCTCTACTGGCTTTGTTTTGTACAGAGATAGATGCCAGCCTCTAAGATGTCACAACATGGCTCCTCATTCTGGCATCTTCTCATGACAAGCATGACAGGAGCGAAGAGGCACGCCGTCCCCCCTTACCTGCAGGGAATATTTTCCAAGACCCCAGGATGCCTGACAGCGCGGGTAGTACGAAACCCCGTGACATGGTGACTTTCTCTACACATGCACACTGCAATAAAGTCTAATTTACACATTAAATTACGACCATAACTAACTGTCAAATAGGCTGATTATAATCATATGTCAGCATCCTTATCTCGTGCTTGGGGACACAGTTAAGTAAAACAAGGGCTACCGGGACGCAAGCACTGCGACACCATGGCCGCTGACCCGCTCACTGGGATGGCTACTAAATGACTCACGAACAGGTGCCATGGACAGTGCGGGCCCACGGGACAGAGGAGAGTCGCGTCCCAGGCGGGATGGAGTTTGATTCCATCAGGTTCCTCAGAATGGCATGGAATCTAACGTGGATGAATTGTTTATTTCTGGAATGTGCCATCTTGTATTTTCTTTTCTTGTTTTTGGGTTGGAGTCTCACTCTGTCGCCCAGACTGGAGGGCAGTGGCCGCTCCCGGCCACCGCAGCCTCGACCTGCTGGGCTCCGGGGATCCTTCCGCCTCAGCCTTCCGAGTAGCCGGAATTACAGGCTTGCACTACCACACCCGGCTAATTTTTTGATTTTATTGTAGAGATGAGGTCTTGCCTGCCCAGGCGTTTCTCCAACCCGCGGGCTCAGGCGATCCACTCACCTCAGCCTCCCAAAGGCGCGGGATTACAGGCTGAGCCACCGAGCCCGGCTAGTATTTTCAGACCTTGGTTGACGATACCTGAAACCACAGAAAATGAAACCTAGGCCAGGAATGGTGACTCACGCTTGTCATCCCAGCACTTTGGGAGGCCAAGGCGAGAGAATTGCCTGAGCCCAGGGGTTCGAGACCAGCCTGGGCAATTTGGCGAGATCTCATCTCTGCAATAAATCAAAAAAATCAGGCGTGGTGGTGCATGCCTGTGGTCCCAGCTATTTGGAAGGCTGAGGTGGAAGAATCACCTGAGCCCAGCAGGTGGAGGCTGCGGAGGCTGTGAGCGTGCCACTGCACTCCAGCCTGGTGACAGAGTAAGACTCCAACTCAAAAAAAAAAAAAAAAAAAAAAAAAGAAAAGAAAATGAAACCTAAGATGAGGGGAGCTACTTTGGGCCCCTCTGCTCTGACCATCTTCTCTCATTTCTCTTGTGGCTGATTGGCTGTGGATTTATACACCACCTCCTCCAGGAAGCCTTCCCATACTGCTCTGTGTCCATTCCCACCGGTTTGTCTCTGAAACTGGCCCCTGATGGCCAACACACCTCACCATTTGTACTTAGGTATTTACTTGTTCACCCTCCCAGACTCTCCGCACCACGAGGCCAGGGACTGTGTCTGTCAGAATTCCTGGCACCGCAGGCCGTCACAAACATTGGCTAATTCTTGCCTGGAAGTTGTTTGACTTTCATCAAATGCCACAGAGATAAGGGCTGAGATGTGGCCACCGGGTGTAGCCACTGCAGCCTGTGGTGACATCAGGGCGTGCACTCTCACTCAGTGCTGCACTGAGGGAGGAAGCTAGACCCTGAGGCTGGCAGGCAACACCTGCCTGTTCCCCATCGGGAACTCTGCCTGGCCGTTCCCTCTTCCAGAAGGTTCTTCTGGCAGGTAGCAGCAAGGCCCACTCCCTCTTTTGCTCGGGTCCCTGCAGAGAGTCACCCCTCCGAGACACCTTCCCTGACTACCCCGAAACGGCCTCCTGCCATCTGTCTGCGATGCGGGGCAGTGCCCGCCTGACTCCACAAGGCTTTTCTGGGTTCTCTGTTTGTCTCCCCTGAGGACGGGGCCACCGCTGTCCTGTTCACCGTTGCGTCCCCTGGAACACAGGCGACCTCGATGAGCGCGTGGCAAAGGACAAAGGAATGAGGGGGTGAGGAAGGTGTAATAATAACCTCCGAGGCTTTACACAGCCCTGCGGTGTTCACAAGGGCACTTCCTTCCTGACCTGTTAATTCAAGCAGCCGCCCCGGGAGCTGAGCTGAGAGGAGAAAGTTCTCGCTGTGAAGAGCCCAAGTGACTGGGGGCTCTTTGTCAAGGTCAGAGGCAGGTTCCCTGTGAGCTGGAGGCCAACTCAGTCTCCAGGGCCAACCACCTGCCAGGTCACTCTAAAAGCGCCATTTTTTCCAAGAAGCCTTTCGCAGCCTTCCCAGCTGGGAACTAACCTCAGTTTCCTCATCTGTGAAATGGAGACGTGGAAAGCAAGTGAGCCTTGATGACAGAAAAATACTAGAGGTGGTTAATATCAGCACTTTTGGAGACAGGGTCTCACTCTGTTGCTCAGGCTGAAGCGTACCGGCATGATCAGAGCTCACTATGATCAAGGGCTCAATTCCTGGGCTCAAGCCATCCTCCCACCTCAGCCTCCCAAGTAGCTGGGACTACAGGTACACACCACTGTGCCCAGCTCTTTTTTTTAATTTGTGTGGAGACAACGTCTTGTTATGTTGCCCAGGCTGGCTCAAGCTCCTGGCCTCAAGTGGTCCTCCCACCTCGGCCTCTCAAAGTGCTGGGATTACAGGCGTGAGCCA